TGCTGGTTATAAGGAGAATAAATGAATTCAGTGAGAACTTTAACAAAGAGATAAAAAACATAAAAATGGAAGTGGAAATTATAAAAAGGAACCAGCCAGAAATTAAGAACACATTAGCTGAGATGAAGAGTATGTTAGAAGGAATTAATAGTATGGATGAAGAAGAGGATTGAACCAACAATAGAAAGGATGGGGAAGCCAAGGTCACCCAATCAGAACAGCAAGAAAAAAGAAGACAAGACTATAATAACTTAAGGAGTCTTTGGGACAAAATTAAGTGTAATACCTTCATGTAATAGGGGTACCTGAAGGAGGAGCGGGAGAACAAGAAATGGAAAAGCTATTTGAAAAAAAAATGAAGGAAAACTTCCCTAACCTGGTGAAGGTAACAGATATAGCCCCAGAAAGCTCAGAGAGTCCCAAGAAAAAGGAACCCAAAGAGGCCCACACCAAGACATATTGTAATTAAAATGCCAAAGGTTAAATACAAAGAGAGAATCTTAAAAGTAGCAAGAGAAAAGCAATTAGCTACCTATAAGAGAGCTCCCATAAGACTGGGACCTGATTTCTCAAAAGAAACATTTGCAGGACAGGTTTTGGCACAAAATATCCAATGTGATGAAAACACAGGATCTACAACCAAGAATATTTTATCTAGCAAAGCTATCATTTAGAACTGAGGACAGATAAAGAGCTTCCCAGACAAAAATAAGCTAAAGGTATTCAACCAAGCCACTATTAAAGAAAATGTTGGAGAGACTTAAGAAAAATCATGTATCAAAATCACGAATAAAAAAAAGTAATAACTACATATCTATCAACAACTACCTCAAATGGAAAAGAATTCAGTGCTCCAACCAAAGGACAGGGTGGCTGAATGGATAAGGAAACAAGACTCCTATATATGCTGCCTACAAGAGACGCACTTCAGATAAAAAGACGCACACAAACTAAAAAGAAGAGGATGGAAAAAGATATTGCTTTGATGGACCTAGAGGGTACTGTGCTAAATGGAGTAAGTCAAATAGAGAAAGACAAATACCACGTGATTTCATGTACATGTGGAATCTAAAGAACAAAATAAGCAATAACAAAAACAGAAACAAAGTCATAGACACAGAGAATATTTTGAAGGCTACTAGACAGGAGGGTTGGAAGGACAATGAAAAAGGGCAAAAGGATTAATACAAATGGACAATTACAAAATAGTCATGGATTGTAGCATAAGAAAAATAGTCAACAGTGTTGTAATAAATATGTAAGGGGGAAGAGAGGTACTAGATTTAGTGGAGTGATCGCTTAAGCTCTAATCACTATGCTGTACAACTGAAACTAATATATTATTGTTATGCCAACTATAATTGAAAAAAGAAACTCATTGAATTGTACAATGTAAATAATGAGCAACTATTATATTTCAATACGATAAGGCTGGGGGGAAAATAATACACCACGACCAAGTGACATTTATTCTAGGAATGCAAAATTTGTTGAATATTGAGAAATTTATTAATATCATATGATATATTAATAAATCAGAGGAAAGAAATCATGATCCTCTTCACAGATACTCAGAAAGACTTTGACAAAATTCAACACCTATTCCTGGTAAAACATTCAAGAATATAGAAACCCTTCTCAATGTGATAAAATAAATATATACTTTAGCTCTAAAAGACACCATCTGAATTAATGGGAAAAAAATTAGGGGCATTACCCCTAAAACAAGGCAAGAATGCCCACTTTCTCTGCTACTGTTTATCACTGTACTAGACAATGCAAACAGACAAGCAAAAACAATTAGAGGCATAAGAATTGGTAAACAAGTAAAGCTATCTCAATTTGAAGATAGTATGGCAGTATGCCTGGAAAACCCACGAAATGCAATAATAAACCTCAAAAATAAAAGAATTCAGCGAAGTAGCAAGTTATAAAATTAAGAAATGAAATTACTAGCTTTCGCATACATAAATTGTGAAGAGAAGACATAATGGTAGAGAAAATTTCACTTACAATGAAGGATCAAATACTTAGGAAAAACAACAAAAACTTGTTATAAGGATAAATTTAAACATTCCTAACAAACACTAAAGTAGACTTAAACAAATGGAAAAGACATCCCTTTTCTTGGATAAGAAGATGTAACATTATAGAGATATTAGTTCTCCCCAAGTTGACTTATAAATTCAAGGTAATGACAATAAAAATACCAACAAGCTAATTTTTATGGCACTGGACAAAATAATAAAAAAGTGCATATAAAAAAAAAAAAAAAAAAAAGCAAGAATACCCAGAGGAAACACTAAAAAAGAAAAACCATGAGGGGGAACATACATTAAAACTTATTATAAAGTCTCTTATAATTTAAAAAATTGTGGTATGGTGTATGAATAAACAGACCAACAGAATAAGGTTCAGAATTAGGCCAAATACACATAGACTTCAGTATGTGATAAAGGTGACATCCCAGATCTCTGGAGTAAAGTACTTTTTAAATGAATGATGGGTCAATGTGGAAAAATAAAACTTAATCCTACCTCATATAATACACAAAAAATCAATTCCAAGTGGACTGTAGATATATGTATGCTAAACAAAACTTGAAAAAATGTAGAGTATCTTGCCTTCAAGGCAGGCAAATATTTCTTACTCAGGAACAGATGCATACCGCCCATAAAGATTAGATGACATTAAAATTACGATCTCATTTTATAAAAAATAAAAATAAAAAATAAAAAAAATACCAATTAAAACACTGACGAGACAAGCTACAGAGTGGACAAAATATTTACAAAATATATCCAACCATAGGGCTCACAGGTGGAATACATAAAGCAGTAAGAAAGAGGCAGGCAACTTTAGTATCTTATCCAAATCAATAAAATAGCTTCTTAGTAAACAAATTTGCACAATCACTTGGAAAACTGGCATCATCTATGAAAAATAAACATATGTATCCCATATGACCCAGAAATTTCAGTCCAGGGTATACACCTAAGAGAAGTACGTGTACTTGTGCACTGTCAGAAATACTAAAATATGCTCATAGCAGCATTATTACAACAGCCCCAAGCTGAAAAGTTGAATGTCCATCAATGCAAATTGCTTAAACAAATTGCAAGATATTCAAATAATGGAATATAAGAAAATGTGCTAGTTAGAGTTACTCAAAACAACATAAATCAATTTCACAAAAAATTAGGGAAAACTCAGAAACACAAAAGAACATATGTTATACGGTTCTATTTGTAAGTTAAACAAAATACCCAACACATGTCAGTCACAATATTGGTCACCTGTGGAGCGTAGGGAAGGGTTTGTCATTTGGATGAGGCAAGAAGGGATACCAGCTGGTAATACTTCTTCTTGCCTGATTACATGGATGTGTTTGTGTGATAATTTACATGAATTAAACCCTTCTGCATTTCAGTACCTGTTTTGAATGTTATCACACATACACAAAGTATTATACAAACATTGCAGAAATGACTTCGGCATTATACTCATAAATAGAACATGCTCAAACCTTACAACTCAGCCATTTCACACTCCTGGAGTAACTCATCGATATTCTAGAAGGTCTGTAAAATTTTCTTAAAGCAGCATTGCTCATGACTGGGAAAAATGGAAACAGTCCAGTAACTGTACATCAGCAGTAGAAAAGGTTAATAAGCTGTGAGATAATAATACAAAGAATCAGTATCTGGAAGTGAAAAAGAAACTATGGCTATAGTTGTCAATGTGACTCTCAAACCTCCACTACTACTAATTTGACCACCATTGTACCTAACTTGAAGGCAGTGGCCTTCCAGTTTGTTACCTTGTCCCTGTATTTAGCCTATAAACCCAGAAATCACTGTAATCCTTTAAAAACAGAAATTGGATAGTTGTCACTACTCTTGTTTAAAATCCTCCATGGACTTCTCAACACACTGAGAGTGAATGGCCAATCCTTCCAGTTAACCTACAAAATGTCCCCATGATCAGGACTCTGATCCGGCTCTGACCTCATTATCTTCTGCAACTGGCAAGCTTGACCCACTCCAGTGACACTGGTCCCTTTGTCTCAAGCATGTGGCTATCTCAAGGATGATCCTTTTTCATGGACTTTGAACTGCCAAGGGCACTCTTCCCACATTACAATATAGCCCACCCTTGCAGTTCATTTGCATCTCTGCCCAAATGTCCCTTAAATGAAAAGGTTTCCCTATCTACCCCATAGCTCCACTAAATTCTACATTACTTCTCATCATCACCACGTTTAATTTTCCCTCCAGTGCACTGAGCACCATCTGAGATACAAACCCATTTATCAGGTGCCTTGACCCGAAGTAGAATGTAAGCACCACAAAGGCAAATATCTTAATTCACTCAAGACTTGGGACATAAACAAGATCTGACATGAAAGAAATATGGACTCTGGAGCCAGAGACCAGGGTTCAAATACAAGCACTACTACTTCTAACAAGTTGATTCAGACAAGTCACCTATATTTCCTTGCTTCAGATTCTCATATGCAAAAGGAAGAAACTGATGGCTCCTGCTTCTTAGGAATCTAGGGAGAATACAGTTCAATACAAAAAGTCAGGAAGATAAATGTTTAAATACATCAAAGACTTGAAATACAAATTTAAAAACTTGGTTTAAAGGCCGGACTCCTGGAGAGGGGTCAAATATATTGTAAGGGAAGATTTTAACTTTGGGTGGTGAACACAATACAATATATGGATGATGTATTATTGAACTGTACACTTTAAATCTATATAATTTTACTAACCAATGTCACCCAATGTTTAATTAAAAAAATAAAAAAGGAATTTGGAGATCCATATCTAACAATTAAAAGCATAAGCAGATTATACCCAGACCGGTAGCAGTTATAAAATCTCACTAATGACCAGGTGAATGGGTTATAGAAAGCATCCAGCTGGGTGCAGCAGAACCCTCCCACTAATAAAAAAAAAAAAAAAAATGTTAAATAGGAAAAAAAAAAAGAAATAGCAGCTTAAACCAATTAGTTTTATTTTTTTCATGTAACAGAAGTTTGGAAATAAAAAAATCCAGGGCTAGTGTAGATGCTCAAAGAAGCCACTGGGTAGGCCACAATCATTTGTGAGTTTTCTGCAGGATTCTCCTTAGCCTGTGGTTTGCATCCCCATGGGCACAAGATGAATCTTTTAACACTAGGTACTGGATCTCCTTGCAAGGCGAGAAGTAGAGGGAAGAGCAAAAAACAACAAAAACATGAAGAAGAATCCATGTAAGAATGACCCTCTTTTCAAGAGCCTTCTCACAACCCATCCAATAACATACGCTTGTTTGTCAATGGCCAGACTGCAGGATATGGACTGTACTAATTCCAAGAAAACTTGTAAGAGATTTTAAAAATAGCACACCTTACTAATGTGACAAAACTTGGGTTTTCTTGATATGAAAGATGAAATACCAGGGAAGCAACTAGAAGTATATGCCACTCTTGACCAGACAAGAAGCTGAGAACATTCCAAAAGATCTGTCTACTGAAGACATCATGCTCTGATCACAATGCATTTGAATCAGATACTCGCAACAACCATGTTACACAGTACATAAGATTCTACAGAATCCATTGATCGAGCAAGTCATCCAAAAGGAAATTAACACACTATCAAGAATGAAATAATAAAAATAATACATACAAACCTTTTGTGATGCAGTGTCAGGGTAATTTAAATCTCAAAAACAAAGACTAAAAATTAATGAGGGTCTGTTTTATTATGAAAGACTAACGAATGCAATTTTCATATTCTCTAGAAAATTCCATTGGGGGTACGAATGAATTCTCATAAGCACAAGTGAGGGGGTCTGTGGCTGAAATCATCTCTATACAGGGACTGTCTGCAGTGGGGGTTATCACACGTTTCCTGAATTACATAGACTATATTTTTGAAGTTTTACACAGAAAATTCTCTTAGAGTGGGTACTCAAGTTTCAAAAAAATTGAAGTACTGTCGTAAGTTAATCTTTCTCAACCTCTCATTATTTGAGGACACATAAGTCTTTGTTCTGGGGGGCTCCTATGCATCGTACGTAGGATATTTAAGATCATCCTTGATGTCTTCCAATTACATGCCAGTAGCACCTCTCCTAGTTTTACCAACCAAATGTCCCCAGATACTGCCAAATGTCACCTGGAGAGCAAAACTCTCTCTTGAGAAACATTGCTGTGCAAACAGGTGTTAGCAAACTTTTTTCTGTCTAGAGCTAGACAGCAAGTATTGAAGACTTTGTGGGTCACGTATGGTCTCTGTCACAATTTTCTACCTTAAAAATATAAGATATTCTTAGCTATACGAAGTCAGACAGTTGCCTGCTATTTGCTGACCTGTTACTGACTTTTCCATGTTTTTTACTTTATAGATGTTTTTCTTTTGTTATTTTTCACATGAAGAATATAGTGAAACCAAGAAAGTTTTGCCTAGTCATTAAATTTGCAGATTCTCTCTAGTGTGCTTACTCATGTGTCCAGAAGGCGCAAGGTAGTGCTGAAGTCATTTCTACATTAAATGCCAGGCTGGGGTTTCTCTCCCTAAGTTCTCGTGTTTGTTAAGAGTTAAATGTAGACTGACAGCTTCTCCATGCCACAGATATTTGTGTTCTCCCCCCAGTGTGAGTTCTCACAAATCTCTGAAGTGATGAGAAGAAAATTCGAGTCTTTCCACAATTATTACATACACTGCATTTCTCCCAAGTTACATGTACTCTTTTGTGCTAAGATGGGTTCATAAAGGCTTTCCTGTCTTCCTTACGCTTATGAGGTTACGTTTTAGTCTGAGGTCTCATGTTATTAAAGAAGACTGTCATTGGAGCCTTTTCCACACTGATGACACCAAGAGTTTCTCTCCTCGGTGAGTTTTCACATGACTCCGAAGAGATGAATGATCACTGAAGGCTTTCCCACAGGCCAGGCATTCATAAGGCTTCTCACCAGTGTGTATTCTCCTGTGCACATTAAGGTTTGAGCCTATGCTGAAGGCTTTCCCACAGTGATCACACTCGTACGGCTTCTCTCCTGTGTGACTCCTCATGTGCGTCTTAAGTGTTGACTGGTTTCTGAAGGCTTTCCCACACTGTCTACATTCAACACGCTTCTTTACAAGATGAACGCTCATGTGCCTCCTCCGGGATAAATAATCACCGAAGACTTTCCCACAGGCGGCACATTCATAGCGTCTCTCTTGAGTGTGTATTTTCCTGTGTGCAGTTAGGTTTGAGCTTGCACTGAAGGCTTTCCCACATAGATCACACCCATATGGTTTCTCTCCAGTGTGAGAATTCATATGTGTCTTAAGGATGGACTGGTTTCTGAATGCTTTCCCACACTGCCTACATTCAACAGGTTTCTTTACAACATGAATTCGCATGTGTTTTCTCCGTGACAAGAGATCACCAAAGGACTTCCCACATTCTTTACATTCATATGTTTTCTCTACCATGTGGTTCTTCTTGTGCAAATTAAAGTTAGATTTCCATCGAAAGGCTTTTCCACACTGTGTGCATTCATAGGGTTTTTCACCAGTATGATTCCTGACATGCTCTTTGAGATGTGAGGGATGCTGGAAAGCTTTCCCACAGTCGTGACATTCATAGGGTCTCTCTCCAGTGTGTGTTCTTTTGTGTGCAATGAGGTGGCAGCTCCTGCCATATGCCTTCCCACATTCATCACACTTGTAAGGTCTTTCCCCAGTGTGAACTCTCATGTGTATTTTCAGGGCGGAGAGGGTTCGGAATGCATTTCCACACTGACTGCAGTCAAAGGGCTTCTCTGTGAGGTGAGTTCTTGCATGACTCCTAAGGGCTGAGGGATCGTTGAAAGCTTTCCCACAAGCATTGCATTCATAGGGTTTCTCCCCAGTATGTATTCTTCTGTGCCGTGTAAGGGAAGCACTCGTGGTAAAAGCTTTTTGGCACTGATGACATTCATGCATTTTTCTCCCATTGTAAATGCTCGTGTGTTGGGTTAGATGTGACCTGTTCTTGCAAATCATGCCATAGTCCCGACGGTGATAGGGCTTCTTGCCAGTGTGCCTTCCCATTTGCTGAGTAAGATGAGCGCCAATGTTGAAGACTTCAAACAGGTGAGCATATTCAGTAGATTTCTCTCCAAGACGAATTCTTTCCTATTAATCGAGATGAGCGCTGATTAAAGCATTTTCTATATTCATTACATTCCTAAGAATTATTGCACATAAACTAACATAAATCGAAGCACATCACTATGACTAAAGATGTCATAATTTAAAGTGCAAAAGTATTGCTCTTACCTCATCTGGGCTCTATCAAATAGAACAGGTTCATGCTATGCCCTAAGGCTCCACGTATATAACTCTTACAAAGCTTTTCATATATATACTGTTAACTGTTAAAATCTGAACTGAGCCCCAACACTCACTACCTCAGACATAGCTATGAAAAAATTTACTCATGAGAACTCTAGGTGGAAAAGTTTGGGGTGAGGTTTAAGGTTTCCTCCCCAAATTAGTAATATCCATTGTCTCTTGAGGACTGCCATTTTCCTGGTTCTTAAGCTGCTTTTCTAACTTGAGCTGCCCAAGTATTATCCTAATGTTGAAGATGCGGAATTATCCCAAGGAAATCTTACCATTGTCACACCACCAGATGTTTCCTTCCCAAAAATATCTTCCATAAGAATGGACCATTTGGTTTTAGATGGCGTCTCCCAATCTGAAACAAATTAGAAAAAGATTAACTTGCGGGAAAATGGAAATGGTGGGATGATGGTGACAAAAACAAATCACTGGCAAATATAAACCCTAAAGAAAGCAAGCGATATGAAAAGGAAGGATGCAACTTCAGTAATAATGACTGAAAATTTTGGCCCTGTGAGATACTTGGTAATGACAAGGGTAGACTTTTACATCAAATCACTAAGAAGTAACTTTTCAAAGACTAACATTGATAATGACAGAAAGAGTATGATCAGGAATGCAGAATATGAAAGGGTGAAGCAAAGTCCACATGGCCATGTCAAATTTAAAGGTGGAGAATTAGTGACACCAAAAGATTTCTGAGAGAACTGAGGAGGAGTGAAAGAGAATGAGCATTTTCAAATTTCCTGGGGTGATATTTCCTAATGGATCTCCCTCCACCCTAGTCACTGGACAGAGCCAATACTCAGAAGCACCTGTGTTTGTCTGGTGCTTACCAGGACAAGTGCTTCGGTGACATTCCCTCTCCTCTGTCCTCAGCTCCTCTTCTTGCTCCAAGTGGGAGATGAGGCTGGGTTTGCTCACCTGACACCCTACTCACAGGAAAGACACATGTTGAGGGAGGATCGTGCAGAGGACACGTGTTCTGAAGTCAGAGTTCTGAAGATGGACAAGACTGACTTAGGAGCAGCAAAATGATGGAGACAAATTTCTAAGGGACACAGTGAAAGGCTTTCATAAAAAGCAAAATCACAAATACCCATATGTTTTTGCCCTTCAAATTAAGAATTTCTTAATTCAGAAACCTATGCCCAAGCTCAGACACTTGACAACCTCTAAGGTCAATCCAAGAGGATAAGTACCAGGTCGGCTTGTTCACAATTGTGTTCCAAATCCCCACACAGTTCTTGGGTCATGGCAAGTACTTAAAATAAAAACATTAGATTCAGGAGTGAAGAAATGATGCCAGTATTACCCACTGAGGCGAGGTTGCTATAGTTCTCCAGCATCACATCTTTGTATAGTTTTCTCTGAGAAGAATCCAGCAAGGGCCACTCCTTCTCAGTAAAGTCCACTGCAACATCCTGGAAAGTCACTGATTCCTGCAACACCACACACATCTGGAGTCAGTGAGAAACCAGCTTGTGTTCAAAGACAGCAGAGGCTGAAGACTGGGTATGAGAGACTCAAAACAAAGGATTTGCAATATAGGGTTTTGGTGTCTCAACATTTACTCCAAAAGTCAGCCAGCGGTTGTCTTCTCTTCCCTATGAGATGATCTCATTCTGTCTCATTGCTTCAAATGCAACTCTGACAGAGAACCAAAATCTCTCCCCACTTCTAGCCTGGCTTGAGCACTCTGAGCCATATTATGAGAGGGACATTTAAGTCATTTCCCCTAAAAACCATACTACCAGGACAGCCTCATAACATTCTTTGGCTCTTTCTCTTGTGTCCTGATCAGGCACTGATTAGTCTGGATGAAGATCTAAAAGTTTTAACATGTGATATTGGGAGTGTTCTAGAAAGTGCCTCTCCCACCCTCTGAGGGCCCTAAGATCCTAGTGTACCTGAGAACCAACATTAGTTGGCATATGAGGCTCCAGGCCTTTATAAGCAAGCAGGTCCACATCCTGGTGACAGAAATGATCTTTTGAAGAAAGAGTAATTTCTGACTCCTGGATATGGGCAGGGTCCTGGGTGGATATAGCTAGAGAAAACAAAATCCATGAGAATTAAAGCCTACCTGACACAAACCAGGAAACCATCCACACTACCTATCAGTGTGCAGTACACATTCCCAATCAACACACACACACACACACACACACACACACACACACACACACTCATACACACACACATTTTGCAGCAAACCAGAGCAGGCCAGCTCTACTCAAGGACAGGAAAGAGAGGTGGACCAACATACTCATAAAAAAAGTGGTATACAGTCTCAATTTTGAGTGAAAAGTTAAAGCTCTAAGAAATAAAGAGCTTTTACTTTATTCAGATTTATCAAAATAAAAAAATGGGATAGCGCAGGGTTATCCATACTTGTGTCCTTCCTGTCACACCAACTGCACACACTTCCTCCCTCACCCAAACTCACAAAGACCCTGAATCAGACACAGTCAACTGGAGGGCCTCCCAAGGCTTTGCTCCCACTGCTTTACAGTTCATGCATCCTCCCCTGGCAGCCCTCCCTCTGGCCTTGCACACGCTTGACCTCGGTCAAGTGGCAGGGGCCACTTAAGCTTAATTTCCGAGGGCATTTTTTTACCCCAAGAACTTACCACATGTGGGAGAGAGACCAAAAGCTGCCATCCCGTGAAGGTGATAACAAATTCGCCTTAACAGCAGGGGACTGGCACCAGAAAGCTACTCCCTTGCTCTCATGGGATTCTGAGCAGGCATCTGCAGTGAATGATAAAAAGACTACTAGGAGAAGTCAAAGACTTTCTATCTCTCCTGCTCACAGGACAATTCTGACTCTTGCTTTCCAGTATCTCCTCTTTTGAGCAGCAAGGTCTGTCTTTACCTTATTTGGGCAAAACATCCAGGCAGTGTGATGGAGAGCCCTGACCTGCCTCAAGTAGGATTTACCAAGTACAATTCTGTTAAACTCCCTCACTCATTAAACACTTGGGCCCCAGGCTTCTGTTCTTCCACTTCTAGGATTGGCATGGTTTAGAATGGTCCATCTAGCAACATGTGTTCCAATCTCCAATGCTGTTTAGCCCCATACTCCAAACCAACATATACACCTGTCAGCCAATGCACAGGCCTTGTCACTACTAGAATCAATTTTACCTCGCAGACAATAATTTAGAAATATGCTTTCTCGATAAAACTTCTACACAACAGTTTTCTCACATGAACTCTTTTTACTTTAGAGACAATTCTAGGCCACCCATGCTCCTACAATCTTGCTACCTAATAGCAAATTTCCCTTCTCACTGCCCCACCTATCCAGCTGAGACTCAGCATGATCCATCACTTCTACAATTAACTTTTCCAAACTCCTTTAACCCTCTGCCTATTATAACCCAGAATGAGCAAAAGACCAGCCCTGGATAATTCCAACCATCTACCTCCTCCCTGAAAATATTTGGGAAGACCAGTCTGCACAAAATTAAAAACTAGAACTATCTTATGATCCAGCAATTCCACTTCTGGGTATTTATCTAAAAAAGATAACACTAATTCAAAGAGATATCTCCACCTCCACGTTGATTACAGCATTATTTATAATAGTCAAGACATGGAAACAATCTAAATGCCCATCAGCAAATAAGTGGATAAAGAAAATGCGGTATATACACACGGTCATAAAAAAAAAAAATCTTATTTCCGACATTGATGGTCTTTGAGAGCATTATACCAAGTGAAATAAATCAGAAAAAGAGAAGTATCATATGTTCTCACTTATATGTAGAAACCTAAAAAAGACAATATGAAACAAAACAAAAAGGTCATGAATATAGAAAACAGATTGGTGGTTGCCTGAGGTGGGAGTAGGTAAAATGGGTAAAAGAGGTCAAAAGGTCCAAATTTCCAGTTATAAAACAAGAAAGTCATGAGGATGTAATAATGTATAGCATGGTGACTATAGTTAATAATATTGTATAGCCTATTTGAAAGTAGTTAGGAGAGTGGATCTTGAGAGTTCTCACGATAAGAAAAAAATTTTTTGTAACTATGTGTGATGAGGGGTGTTAACTGAACTTATTGTGATCATTTTGCAACACATAAAAATGTCCAATTATTATACTGTATACCTGACACTGATATGTTTTGTCAATTACACCTCAATTTAAAAACAAAAACAAAAACAAACAAACAAAAAAAAAACAAGCCACAGATTGGGGAAAAATATTTGAGGTACATACATCTGACAAAGAATTCATATTCAGATTAAAGCACTCCTAAAAAACAATAATAAAAAAGGTACAAACTCAACAAAAAAGGTCAGACTTAGATACTTCAAAAATTTAATTAAAAAAATATTTAATGACCAATATAATAAGCATGGCTAAAGGTATTTAACATCATTAATCATTACATAAATGTAAATTAGAAATAATAACATTTCAACCCTCTAGGGCGGCCAAAATAAAAAGACCGTCAACATTAAATGTTGGCAAGGATGTGGCATACCTCCAACTCCTATATACTGATGGTGGGAATCAGAAATGGTTCAACCACTTTGGAAACCAATGTGCCAGTTTCTTAAATAGTACACCTATCATTTGACTGAGCAATCCCACGCTTAGATATTTACCCAAAGGAAAACCTTCAAAACATGTCCAAGACTCACACAAAAATGTTCACAGCAATTGAATTCATAATAGCCAAAAAAATGTACGCAATCTAAATATCCATCAACAAGAAAACGGATAAACGACCCGTGGTATTTACAATAGAATAATACTCAACAATAAAAAGAAACTAAGAGACATAACATGGCTGTCTCTGTAATGTTGACCCACAGAAGCTAGATAAAAATAAAAAAAAGCTCTATCATATCAATTACAAGACATTCACGAATAGGCAAAATGTATTTAGGTCAATAGAAAAATCTGTTTATATAAGTCGATAGAAGTAAAAAAGTGGTTGCTTCAAAGAAGGAGCATGAGATGGGGATAGACTAAGAAAAGTGAGAGGGAACTTTCTAGGGCAACTGAAATTTTCTAATTTTCTTTTTGATAGTGGTTATACAATGTACCAACTGTCAAAAAATTATCAAACTGATTACCTAAGATCTGTGTATTTTCTTGTAAATTATATTTTATTTTAAAAAGTTTAAAGGAATCTTTCTTACTTTCTGGTCTCTGATTATACAAAAATTCCCCCCACAACTAATCTATGATCTTCTCTCCTATTACAAACAAGGAGATGTCTGCCCTCTTAAGACTAATTTCTTCAGAGTAAATACTAAAATAAATTCATAATGTTCAGGAAAAAAAAGTAGAATAAAAAATACTTAAATCAAGGGAAGCTAAAGAAAAAAGAAATTGAAAAAGAACAAATTCAACAATCAAATATATTAACACATGTTAATGGACTAAATGCTTCAACTGAAGTATTCTCAAAATGGATTAAAAATAATCCAGACATATCTAAAGACATATCTAAAACATAAGGACATAACAAGAATGGAAATTAAAAAATATACAACGCACATTTTGAAAAAGCTTGTTTACATATATTAACACTAGATAGAATACATTAAGGCAAAAAGGCTCAGAGAGAAAACTGAGGTATTACATAATGAAAACCATAATTCAAAAAAAACCTAAATATACCTGTATGTATAACAGAGCCTCAAAAATACAAAAAAGAAAATAAATTAAAAATACAAAGCTCGGAGACTGGGCAAAATGGCGTACATGATAGAAGCTTTGTTCATCCTCTCTTGCGACCACATGAAAGTTGAGATGGAAACACGGAGCAAACAGCAAGTACAGTCGCCTAGGGGTATAGATGAACAGAAGCCCTACAACTATGGAGAGAAGAAATCACTCTGCAATGATTAGAGGTAGGACGGGGTGAGGATGCAAAGTTGCCCAGTCCCAAGCAGCTCTCAGTGGGATCAAGGCTGCGGCAGCTGCAGATGCCACTTAAAGGGGCCGTGCCAGCGAGCGAACTTTCACAGAGACGGACCTGCTTCTTCTGACCACCACTGTGAGGTTAGCTGCTCAGGGGATCCCAGGGATTACAAGGGTACATTGAGTTTTTGGAGCAAGCACGGGAGGCGAGACTTTCTCCCTGGCGGAAATGCCAGCAGTATTCATTATCCTTCTGTTGAGTCCTCCCCCTTCCCAATGTGCAGACCCAGCTCCACCATAGCTGAGACAGCATTAAAATGGATAACAGAGGTTGCCCTGCCCAGAGGATTCCCTGAAACCTCAGCCCCCCAACCCACAGTCCCACCCAAGCCACATCCAGGTGCCTCCTCACTTAGTCAGGTGCCTCTTGCTGAGCAGCACCTAGACTCACACTGGAGACAGCTGGCCTCGGTTTCTGGTGTGGCCTTTTGAGACAACTATAAGCACAGCATCTGTGGATTGCTTGCTGAATCTTAATGGGTGGCCCCGGAGGGGCAGAGGCTGGGGCTAAATTTGGCCTGCAGATGAGCTCTTCTCAGGACTGTGCCACTGGACACCTACTACCTCTTGCTGAGCAGCACCTAGACTCACACTGGAGACAGCTGGCCTCGGTTTCTGGTGTGGCCTTTTGAGACAACTATAAGCACAGCATCTGTGGATTGCTTGCTGAATCTTAATGGGTGGCCCCGGAGGGGCAGAGGCTGGGGCTAAATTTGGCCTGCAGATGAGCTCTTCTCAGGACTGTGCCACTGGACACCTACTACACAAATCCACACTAATAAGACTGGGAGACTTAGGAGCTTTGCTGAGTACAGAGAAACAG